GCAGTGTCTTGCATGCCGTTTATCTGACGGAGGATCTGACTGTTTATGGCCACGATGAGCTTCTTCTGGCACACTTGTTTCCACTTCCTCATTCGTCCGTCACTACCTTCTGGTACACGGGTATTGGGTGGGAAGGTACAGTCTTCCCGGTTTGATACGTTGAGAACATCAACGATGGTGTAAAATTTACGTCAACTGGCTGTTACCGATCATAGACTTCGCAAACTGCGCTTGTAGCCACTGTAGGGAATTCGAGGCGTGGTTGATTCGGACGGATGCCCTCTTCCGAGCCTTCTCTCTCTTTCACATAACGTGTGTCGGTGGCGCTTGACGTAGCGCTCGTAATTATTGATCATATGCTTCAGGAATAAAGGCGTACAGACTGACAGCTGCTGTGGAAAACCCGAAGCATCGTGAAGCGGGGTTATTCCCAATCAGCATTTGGTGGCGGGGCGGCATCTGGAGCAAGCTTGCCCCATTTAACAGTTAAGTTATTACTCCGACGGCTTGCTAAGCTGGACCAGTCGGGGAATCGCTTCATTCTGAAATGCCCGAGATTTAACGCAGGCGCATTACTTGATAAAGTTTTTTCTTCGTGGATTCCATAAGCCGTTAGAAGTAGGCTGAATTTTTCATCCTCCTCAACACACTGCACCGGACAGTAAATACCATGAAGTTGTTAAGGTACTGTGTAGCGTACGCCAGCTGCTGTTTTCGTTTACGGCTGAAACTAATCACGGGAAGGAAGTCGGTAGGTCGCGAATGAAGTTGTGGCAGTCGTGGTTACTCTTGCTTTAAGTTGCTAACCGGCGTCCTTTACTGCCACTTTTGTCTTGATAAGCTGGCATGTAGTGATACAGCTTTTGTCTAAAATTTTGTCATCGTTTCTGTTCCATGGCACCTCCTTTTACCCCCTTGCCTTTCCACATGCGTGCGAACGGTGCAAAATAGCGCTAGAGCATTGTGGTTTTCGGATTATGATTAGAATTTAGAGAAGTGGGCTTCACAGCCTCGCATTATTAGTATTAATATGCTATTGGGTCTCACAGTCCAGTTTGTTATGAATAGTATCCTGCAGAAAAATTGAGGAGCACTATTGTTCACAGCGAGCTGTGTTTCCTTGTTTCCCGTCAAAGTCACGCCCATCCCCAGACGGTAATTTGTCTCCTTCACTCTCTCCAAGCTTCTGTTTCATTCGCTGAATCTGTGTCTTCTGATCCGTTTTCGAGAACTCACTGTAGTCGACCGACATTTGCGCTCCATGGCCAACAGTGAATGGACAGGACTGTTCAGCCTTATCGCCGCTGCTTACCGTGATAATGACACAGTTCAAAAGATTCTGAAGATTTTCTGAAAAGAATCTCGTGCTACCACTTCTCCAAATTGCACTGCATTTCAATTGTCGCGTGTTTCGTACTCGCCCAGGTCAACACATATTTTTTTCAGATTTCTCAGCCAGATAATGGCAGCGTGAATGCGCATGCTTATCCTGGAACTGTCAACATCACAGAAAAAATTGGCAACATGTTAGTTAATTTTTCAAATGAGTGCAAATTTTATTTGGTAACCAAAACCCTTGTTGTCTAGTATCTGTAGGAGCCAAGCTTCCTTTCGCATTGTGTCACCAAAAAAGGACTTTAGGCTTTAGTTTTAGCTTTAAACCCGGG